AACCTCCATGTATGGGGGGGTGGGGATTGTTAGTAATGTGGATTGATGATCTTATTGCCAGCAATGTACCATTTCAGGTTGACCACCTCGCGATTCCCCCTAGAAACCATCGTGATAAATTCTTAGAGAATTTGTCACGATGTGCTAACTGCTAACTGACCTGACCTCATGTTCATCCTATCATCCTATACTGTTGCCCCGCCAGCGTGAACCTTTAGCGCAGGGGGGTGGTGCAACATTCTATTGTCATCCACTAAAAAAACCATTTAAGATCTTATTGCGAAGAAAAAAAATAATTGGAAAACTAAAACTAAAATATAATTGATGTTATAAATTGTAACGAAACTTGAATGTTTAATTACAACTTATAACTTCAATTATTGATTAAACAAACTCAAAGTGGCACGACCTCTGTGGTCTGTACCACACCGCCTTACTTCCGATTGCCGTGGGTTCGATTCCTGGCACAACACAAACATTTGTATTCATGAGTATGATAGTTTATTTCGTTCTGGGTATTTTCTAACATTATGCATGATTTTACAAAAAAATATATATGCCGTCTAGTACCTATAACATAAGCTCTGCTTAGCTTGGGACTAGATGGCGCTGTGTGATTTGTCTTGCGTTATTTTTATTAGGTATTTTTAATTCTGAGTAATGGCAACGCATAAGGGATTCGCGGTGATGCTCATGTACCATATGCAGGCTACAGTTGCCACTATGAGTTGTCAACATGATGGTGAACGTGACATTTGACACGCTCACATTTCTCTAAGCATTTTAATGGATGGTAATGTACTGGTGCATCCGCCTGCGCTAACAGTATACGCAGGTGGGGCACCAGTAGAGGATGATAAGATGATCTTGAGATCAGGTTAGTTACCCGATTGTCGTAAATACACTAGAAATTTATCACGTCTGTTTCCAGAGGAAACCGTGAGGTCAATCTTATATGGTACATTGCTAGCTAGGGGGTCAATAGTCCACATTAACATTCCTCTACCCCGCTCTCTGAGTATATGACTACCGCCATGAGGGGAAGCGCATTATTAGTACTGTGGACTAATAACCCCATTGCTAGCAATGTACCCTGTCAGGTTGACCTCCTCGCGGTTCCTCCTGGAAACCACTATAATAAATTAATGGAAAATTTATGATGGGCTAACTGACCTGGCCTTATGCTCATCTTATCATCCTCCACTGGTACACCGCCAGCGTAAACTGTTAGCGCAGGCGGGTGCACCATTCCATATTCATATTCGAAATATATATACTTTTGTTTGTAATAATTGCGTTAGTTTCTGTGTGTAATAAGAATTGTTAGCAACCGGTTTGTTAATTAAAATTATGCAACAATCATGTGTGAGATCATTTCTACGCAGGCGGATGCACCATTCCATAAGAAACTACCTCGGTCTCCCAAATATTTTTCGTTAGCTACCGATGCTACAATAACCGAGTTGTTCAAGAAGTGTTTTATGTCAAAAGTTTCCGAGTTCCATAATTGGCAATTCATTTTATATTGATTAGACTCGAACTTTCGACCTATGTCCTGTGAACAATAAACAGGTTGCTTAGTGCAACCTGTTTATTGTTCACAGGACATAGTAGGTTATGTATATATTTTTTTTACTGTAATTGGCCTATCTTCCTACCGCTTTACTCTGGGTGGGCCGTCGTCAAGGATCTTATTGCTAGGGGGTAGTCACCAACATCACACATGGTCTCGGATATAAATTTCCAAACTTTTTACTAGTTTCTTATTTCCTACTAGCTGTACCCGCGACTACGTCTGCGTGGTATTTAACTTTATTTTTCTAAAATAAAAGTAGCCAAGTTACTCCTTATTACATCAATTACCTGCCAAAAAAAGTCCCGTCAAAATCGGTCCAGCCATTTCAGAGATTAGCCAGAACAAAGAGACAGACAGACTAAAATTGTAAAAAGTGTTATTTTAGTGTATATACCGTATTTATATTATGTATATGCATGTAGTAAAAAACGGTTACTTCAATATTACAAACAGACACTCCAATTTTATTTATATGCATAAATTTATACTATATAAGTTTAACAATCCTACCTAACCATTTTCTTTAACATATAAACTAAATTTTAAGGGTATTTATTTTACTTGTTTTAAGGTTTTCCTAATTTTTATTAATTTGTTATTATTTTTTATATTGTCTTTGGATGCAAAAAAAGATATCGTTAACAAACACATCTGATGCCCATGCAATGATCTTCATGATGCTAATAAATAAAGGTACGTACTTTCCGTTGGGAAACCCGGTCGTTCGACTTATATGGCCATAGATGCTAAAACTGTGAACTGTCCTACTAATATTATAAACTATATCACTATAGATCACATATTATATATATCTGCAATTTAATTTCTTTCTACATCAGAATAAAATAGAAAATCGTTTATTCAAATAAATTTAATTTTAAGCACTTTTGAATAGTCATAGTCTGTTTTTAATCTACTGCTCATTGGGAATGCTGTCTTATCACAAGAAGACCAAGGTAGTAACTTGAGTGTTGCTATTTTAAATAATTGTTTTACTACTACATCATTTACATTTTTAAGTTGAAATGTGTGAATACAAACTACCAACTACCACTAGATAAGTCTTCATTCCTAAAAAAAATAAAAACATACGTGTTTTTATTTTGTTTACCGTATGTACAACAAAACCAATTTTTAGATAACTCGGTTTACTATCGTCGTAGTTGTACAATTTTTGGCGGACTTTGTGATCCACTAGTTTAGTACATCGCTTTACTTCTAATGGTCGCAGTTACAATTCCTCGCACGATGCAATCATTTGCAGTCATATGTATGATTATTTGTACTGGGTGTTTTCTATATACAGATATAATTTATTTTTACAAAATAAAATGTATTTAAGTATTCCTATAAGTTGTCGAGTACCCATAATACAAACATTAATAAGCTTGGGCCCTGTCCCCCCTAGAAACCATCGTGGTTAATTCGTGAAGTAATTCTTAACCGATGGACTAACCCACCTGAATTCATGCTCTTCACTGGTGCCCTACCAGCGTAAGCGCAGGTGGTACTGTTCCTTCATTTTGTATATCTATATCTTATACTGACGGAGTAATTTTCCATTCCTGTATTCAACATGACGCCATATTGTCTTATTAAAATTTGACGGCTAAACTACATAATCCGCTGACATAATAATAACACATGTGAATCACAAAATTGAATCGAATAACGTCCAAAGGTAACAGGAAAACGATTGTTTCATGTCCTTGTATGGAAGTGACAACAATTGAAATATATAATATCTCATATTGTTGTTTTTATAGGAATTATAATAAAAACATGCTTTTTATAACTATTCCAGCAAACAAACTGACGGTTCAACTAATGATAACACCAGGAATGAAAAAATATAAAGCACGTCAGTGGTACCTTTAATGCATTGCCATACGACGCGACGATACGACTTTAGTCTGAGGGCACTGCTAGGGGTTTGAACCTCCGCTCAGATCGTCGTAATTTCGATCTCCGTTTGAATTGGATGGTGGATCGATCGGAGGGGAGTCCTCAGTTCCTTGTAAAGCATTATGTTAAATTCCTGGTGCATTTACCGACCTGATCTCATATTCATCTTATCATCCTCCTCTAGTGCCATGCCAGCGTAAACCGTTAGCTGAGACCGGTGAACCATATACATATTTGAAACATATATTGTTTCATACATACATATAATTTTGGTTCTGATAATTGCGTTAATTTCTATCTGTTGCTAATAAAAATTGATAGCAACCGTTTTGTTTAATTAAAATCATGCAACAATCAGTGAGGTCACACGTATAAAAAAATAAACGTCTTTATTTCCGTAACTATGTTGCAAAAATTATAATTACGCAGAAGTGCGTTTCTGGCTTTGTGGTATTAATAATGATCATTATGAATCATTTACAGTTATACATTATCATACATAATAACACTAATTACTCACAATAATGCAATTATTATGTGAGTCTACCAATTCTACTGAAATTAAACAGAAGTGACTTTGTGCATACATTTTACGATGGCGCTGTGTGAATTGTCCTGAGATATTCTTATTTTTTAGACGCTATCTCTTGATGATAATTAAACAAAAATAATAAACATAATATTGACGATATTACTTATTACTTAAACCTAAACTAGTAGTTCACTAATGTATTGTTAACGTAATAGTTTTCAATATAACAATTGAAAAATATTGACAATAATAACTATAATTCCTGTAGAGAGTATTTTTCTCAGCTTTATTTATAATTAACAACATATTCTAATTGAATTAGAACTTTATATATATGTATATAATGTATAGTATTAAAAGTTGAAATACGAAGTGTAAAAAAACATATTTTGAAATACTTAAAAATCTTTCCGTGTCTTTATACATGCATACAGTATATGTAGGTATACTTTGAAACCATTACAAGATATGACTGTTACCCGTTACTATCGAGGTTATCAATTCGGGTCCCAATAAACACAGATGACATATGTTACATTTGCTTTTCACGGCTACTATATTATCGCAAGAAGTATTTAACATTTACATTATTGTAATAGTTGAATTTAAGTAATTATTAAAAAAAATACCCGCTATCTTTTTGATTCAATTGAGTCAAAAGTAAACCTAAGTACAGTTGTAGTCAGCCCACACCCGCATCTGTTTCATGCATTGCTTTTGAGGTCATTTAAATATTAAAATATTCAAGTTTGAACACCTCTTGCCGATCGAACGGTAGGTATGTAACAACTTATAGTTAGACACAGCCTGTATCAGCTCATCGTCACGATTTCAAACCAGTTACACGCTTCTTCATTGCTACCCGATAAATGTTCTATGTAAAATTTAACATCAACAATATTAAACCTTAACGAACAATGATACAGTACAAATTCTAATAACAACATATTTGTTGTGACTCGTTATAAATTAGTCAACTTCCCGTTTCGCACAATAATTGTTTAGTTCATTACGAGACATGCCCGAGAACGCAATGAAGTACATTATTGTATTGTTATTTACGATCGGAACGTGTTATTGTGCTATTGACTTCAATGAGCGACCAAGAAACTTCAGTATAGAACTACTCCACTACACTCAACTGCAGACCGACGGCCATGTTGTCATATCGCCGTACGGAATCTGGACTCTTATGACCGGAGTCGCATTGGGAGCAACCGGGAACAGCTACAACCAGCTAGCTAATGCTTTTATTCTGCCTAAAAACAGGGGTAAGCTCATCAAAGGCTACAGAGAATTAGCATCGACCGTGCTCGACACAAAAACAAATAGTGTTACACTGACCAGTAGAAATTTCGTTTTTCTCGACAATAATTTCAACGTGTACCCTGAATTTAAGCGGACTTTACAGAATGATTTTGATGCGGCGGTGAAAGTACTCGACTTCCAAGATCCTAACTCCGCTAGGATAGCAAACACGTACATAGAGAAATCAGGCGGAAGAGTGTCCAATGTTTTGCGCTCAGATGACTTCAGCGAAGCGAGAATGTTGTTGACCAACGTCATATCATTCAAAGGACTTTGGCAAACCCCATTCAACAAATCGGAAACCGTTACTGAACCATTCTACAATGAGGAGAAAACGGTGATCGGTTCCGTGAACATGATGTTCCAGAAAGGTCAATTCCCATACTCCAACATAAGAGAATTGGAGTCGTTTGTATTAGAACTTCCTTATGGAGACGATGGTAAATACTCAATGATATTTATTCTGCCACATCCAAATCGAAAAGTGAACGATATTTATAAGAATTTCTTAAAGGTTAGCCTTAAAGATGTATTTAGGAAACTGCAATCGGATATTGACGAGTTTGGTTTTGATGAGATTGATGTGAAAATTCCTAGATTCCATATTACTACAAATGTGGTGCTTAATAAGCCACTAAACGATATGGGAGTGTATGATATTTTCCAGCCTAATTTGGCCACATTTCAAAGAGTGACCAGTGAAGATATATTTGTATCCGCTATAGTACATAAAGCTGATATTGAGGTTACGGAGACAGGGACAATAGCGTCAGCAGTGTCGACTGCTTATTTAGCAGATAGGATATCCTCGCCAAGCTTCTACGCCAATAGACCGTTTGTATACTTTGTGATTGAAAAAACAACAACTACTGTAATATTTGGCGGCATATATTCTAAACCCACTGTATACTAAGTATCAATAAAAAATTCTATTTATTTTACAATAAGATTTGAAAATTATATTAAGTTTTATTCTTTAGTACACTGTCAAATATAATTATAATCCTGTTTAGCTAAAGCAAAAACAGCAGGTATGTGTACATATGTGAGTATAATTATTATGTATCAATTTGATTTTGTGGCTCATTAATTATAATTAATTCAAAATTTCGTAATACACAAAATGAAATTGAAAACATGCATGACACATATTTACTATAGATATTACCACGAATATGATTTTACTGTATAAAATTTTCAATATTTGCTGTAATAATAAAAAATGTTATACGTTATATTGTTATACAAATTTTCATATATCACATTTTCATATACAAATATATCATTTTTTAGAGGAACAATTTTATGTGATAGAATTTTCTAGACAGAAGTATAATTTTAACTGGAAAATATGTACATGTAATAGTTTCCATGTATTTTTTTCTGCTAACCGTAATACTCATGATTATGTTATCACTCGACATAAGACTGAAGTTACATGACTGTAAACAAAATATGTATGTAATAATTGTTTTTTCTTGAGGAAATATTAATAAGAGTATGAAATATGTATTTTTCGTTCAATTGTTATGTGATGAATAGATTTATTTTATACTTTTTCATAGATAAAATACAAAACAACTTTATAACTAATGACTTTTGTATTTTTATTTTTCTTTGATGACGTAGATAAAGATATCTATTATGAAAGCATTGCCCAAAATTCTTACAATGAATACAATCAAACGAATATATTACTAAAAAATAATATGAGGAAGTATAATATGTATAAAAATGTAGGTATATTCCGAGCGTGAAAACCACAATTATCATTTTCTTAGATTATTCATGACGAATACGATGTATGTTGTTTCATAAACTAATTGACACAAAATTTTTTAGTGGAAATCGCAACCAAATCAATCAAACAGTTTGTAAGATAAGTACACACAAATATACCTACACTGACAAGCTGACAAATATTCTAACAATCATTTTTTTTAGCGCCGGACGTAAAAAGAGTCTAGTAATCAAGAGATGCATGCCTAGTCAGAAAATGCATATTAGAGCACTACCTGCTAATATTTCTATGGCATTTATTGAATTCTTTAAGTAAATAGTATCAAATTAAGTCGTTTCCTCTGTCTGTTCGCTTAGATGTTTTAAACTTCACAATGTACTCAATTCAGTTTTCTGCAATAGATAGAGTTTTAGCGTCTATATTGTTATCGCTATTATTTATGTTTATGTTGTGTTCTTGTAGCAGCAGCGGGAAAGAAGGAGGTGAAATGATGGGTCCAGATTGTTGCTATGTACATATTTATAATTATGAAATATTTACAATGAATATATAGGTATGTACAAGAAAGTGATTCGGTCTCGAATGACAAGCTTGTTATTCTTCTTGCCCCATCGTAACTAGGCAACGGTGTTGCCGCACGATGATAGTATATTCGCCACAGAGTGATTCAAGAGGAAGGTTTATATGGATACATAATATGTACATTCGTCCGAAGCCGGGGCGAGTAGCTAATCTATACATATAAATAAAATTGTAGTGTCTGTAATATTGAAATAACCGGTTTTTACTACATGCATATGAATATAAATACGGTGCATACAGCAAAGTAACAATTTTTACAATTTTTGTCTATCTGTCTGTCTGTCTGTTTGTTCCGGCTAATCTCTGAAATGGCTGGACCGATTTTGACGGGACTTTTTTTTACAGGTAGCTGATGTAATAAGGAGTAATTTCCACGCGCTTAATGTTAAATTCCACGCGCACGAAGTCGCGGGAACAGCTAGTACTATATATGTATATAAATAAATGTTACCTATTTGTTAAGAATTCTTTGGATTATGTAAAGAAAATATTATATATGAAAATTATACGTTCCTTGTCAACTTCAAAATATTAGAAATAAAAAAATGTAAAATATTGACTTCAACGTAAATACATGAAATATTTTACTTTCCTCTTTTATTGATGCCTTATTGTCGAACCTTAGTACAATTACAAATAATTATTCATATATATCGGTATATTTTTTATGGATGATAATGTAATGGTGCACCCGCCTTCGCTAACAGTTTACGTTGGCGGGGCACCAGTGGAGGATGATAAGATGAACATGAGGTCAGGTCTGTTAGCCCGTCGTGATAAATTCATCAAGAATGTATCAGGATGGTTTCCAGGTGGAACCAAGTGGAGGCCAACCTGACAATCCCCTTTCCCCTTATATAGGTAGGTATATTGGATTTGTACTACCCAATACTATTTGTTCTTTGATTCAAAAATCTTATATGCGGCCTAATCGACGCTAAAGTTAGGCTTAGATGATGATGTTATTATTAGATATATTATTAGGTAGATAAAAACTTAACAATAGTATTACCGGTCGGATTACGTCATCTGTGAGCATTAAGAACGACAATGACATTGTCTATGGCCAACAGAAGAGCTACCCGAAGGTTGTTTTGATTATATCTTCTTTATAAATTTATTATCTTACTTGTGGTAAGCGATCGCAAATTACATCACATGAATTTCATTATACATTTACTTCATAATCTCTTCCTTGTCACAGATTGTCACATTGAGGAAAAAGGAAGATTGGTAAAGTGGATTAATAACTCCATTGCTAGCAATGTACCATGTCACCATGGGCGTAGCCAGGGTGGGGCAGAGTAGGGCTCTAGCCTCCTGGCTCTGGTAAACCTACAAAAATAAATTATCAAAGTACTAACTACGATACTTAATATCAGTAAGAAAGTTCATACTCGACAGTCGACACAAAAAATAACATACAGATACAGACTGCTATAGGCGTTACCGTTTTTTTTATGAAAAAAATAATCAGCGTAAGACCACGACATTGGTTTGCTAGTTGCTTAATATTTTAGATTGTTGTCCCACCCTGAGTCCATAGCTGCCTACGCCCATGCTTATTAGGTTTTCCTTGACGCGTTTCCCCCTGAAACCATCGTGATAATTACCTCGTGATTTTGTCACGATGGCATAAATAATCTGACTTCATTTTATCACCCTCCATTGGTGCCACGGCTGCATATACCATTAGCGCAGGCTTATGCACCATTCCATTAAAAAAATACCTTCCAAAAAAAGCCCACCTGGCTTAGCCTTTATCTAACATGATGGTAGATAAGGGCTAAACCTGATGGCAGTTGGTAACCATAGCCTAAAGGCGCGATCTACCATCGTGGTTATCTCTTGATGAATTGACCACGAATGACACACTGACTGAGTCGTCTTCATCATCATCCTATCATCCTCCAGTAGTCCCCTGCTCCTGGAGATGGCACCATTCAATTGTCATCCTGTAAAAAAAATAAAAAGTATCAAACCGTTTGAGATGTTTAGCATTATTTTTTATTTTATTTTTGGATGTGTTAAAATATCCTTGCATGCTTATATTACCTATGTATAGTTAAGGATCCCTATTTAAGGATGTAAAATGATGATTGAATCAGATCACTATCGAAGCAACATTTCCATAAATGAATGAGTGCGTCGTGACTTAGTGGTTTAGAAGTCGACTTATAAACCCATAGTCGTGAGTTCTAACTGACCACAAATATCGTGCGAGTCTATACATATTTTTGATTGACTCTTCGGTAATGAAAGCGGCAAAATAATTCGAGATACTGCTTATACCTATGAATGACCTGGGCACAAGCACAGGCCAGTTGTGAAAGAATTATTATTATATGTTTTAAAATAAGCTGAGATATAAAATGATCATTGGCAAACGTTTTTTAAGGACTTGAATATCACCCCTCATGCGTTGTTATTCTTCCGGATAGGTTGTCATGTCATCTACGTACCATGTAAAATACCTAATAAAAATTAAATTGTGTTACAAAGTTTTTAATTAGTTTAGTAATTTCACTGTCATATCTACTCATATTGCTATAGATCGAAGCACAGCATACAGTCCAAGTTATGTAGTGAATAAAATAAATGAAACAGACATATAATTACCCACGTATTACGCACAATGTATACTATAAGAGTTTTGCGTACAAATTTTAATGACTTTCTAAATTAGTCACAGTTTACCAAAATATTTGGATAAAACTTTACTATACTGGCCATAACACTTTACTGGGCATATAATTCTGTAAAATAACAGATAATTAGCTTTAAAGAGCAAGTACCCAGGACTTCAAACCATTATTAAAAAAAAATCTGGACACCCATTCACGATACAGTCTGACTGACAGATTTCAATTCTGTCACTGTCACTGACACAAGTGAAGAAAATATTACTGCCAGAATTTTTTGAAACATTTCAGTGTGGTTTATTTTATTTATTATTATTCTATAGGACAAGGGGAAATACCTAATAATCTAAACTTGAAACACCTAAAGCAACCCATTGTTTTTAAAATAGAGATGATAAATAAATATCATTTATTTAATCTAGTGTTCTAGTCATAGACTTAGAAATATTGTAATTATAACCAAAGAAGTATAAAAATAATGTTTCAAACAACCTTTAAGGTTTTAAGGACAAACTTCTGGAGGAAACATTTAAAAACTCATATAATATTTAATAAAACATTGCATAGAAGTCGTAATTACAGTGGTAAGTAGTATTATTAATATAAACAAACATAACCTATTCCAAACTGCATCTTTTTATATACCTTCACTCATTCTTGAGGATTGTGATTACCACCTAGTCTAAAGCTATTAGGATTATTTCTCACCATCTTTCGCGATACTGCGCTGTACTGGATACTGTGTCTGAACTGTACCTTCCTGTGTGTGCAGAAAAGCCAATATGCAGCAGCCAAGTGCTGCTTTTCTGCTCCACCTGACTTTTCTCTGTAGGACTTACATCAAGAATTTGTTGTTAAACATGTAACAAGATATGCTAAAGAAAGTATGCAAAAACAACCTAATATACACTATTGTAAAAATGTTCTCACCACCTACAATTTTATTAAATTAATTCTTTATTTTACTAATAAAATAGTATATAAATTGTTTAATTAAACAATCAAAATATATAGTACCTATAAATAAAAAAAAAATTATTAATGCAGGTTTAATAATAATAATAATATTATCAGGACAATTCACACAGCACCATCTAGTACCCAAACTAAGGCAACCTTCATTAAGGGTACTAGACCAGTGATATGAATACTTAGATTGTTTTTGTACATACATCATATAGTATATAAAACTATTTTAAAAACCCGTGACAATCAGTAGTAAACTATTGGTGTGCTAAACTGTTAGACCACAAGTGATAACAAAAGTAATGTAGTAATGGATAATTGCATAACAGGTAATCAGAAATATTTTCTTTTTATTACAGGTTTAGCTGCTTTACACTATAACAGAAGTAGTGTACAACATTTTAAAAGCACAGAATCCACTTGCTTATGTTTAAGTAGGTTATTTGTATATGCAAAATGCACGTATTCCTCAGGAAATATATTAAGTGGAGATGTAACAGAGTTACAGAAAACACAGCATGAAAGAGGTGAGTGACAAAAACCTATTTATGGAAAACTTTTTTGGAATGTTTTGTTTTTTGGAATTCTTTACAATTGTACATGAGATATTTAGCATGATAATGTTTATTATAATGTCTGTATATTTCGACATTGTCTTAAACAAAAAGTAGATTATGTCCTTTCTCAGGGTTTAGACTATCTGTGTATTAAATTTAATTTAAATCGGTTATGTAGTTTTGACTTTACAGACAAACAGACAGACAAAGTTACTTTCGCATTTATAATATTAGTAAGGTTAAGGAAGTAAGGATTATCAATGCGAAAGCTTGTGATTATGGATGAATGTTTTATTCTTTCAGACAATAACTACTGAACGGATTTTTATGTAACTTTATAGTAATGTAGCTTATACACAATATAGCATCAGAATAACATATAGGCTATAAATATCATGTGGGTGAAACTGTGTGGCGGACACAGCTTTTTTTTTTTTATTTTTTTTTTAATTGACAGTGCTCTATATTTCTACTTTTAAACTTGAATGTAGGCAGAAAACAATATTTATTTTTTCAGAGCTCAAACAAATTGTTGAATTGTTCCCACAACCTCGAGTAACACTGAATGAGCTAACTTCGAAAACACCACAGAAAATCTTTGAAATACATTATAAACAGATTTCCTCAGCACCTAAAGGTCGGAGAAAAGCAGCTGTGAACAATGATTGGATCTGCACATACTCCTTCATTTGGCCAGAGAAAATGAAATTTGAAAGGTATTATCTAACACATAAAAATGGTGATTTTTTTTAATGGATGATAATGTAATGATGCTCTATCCACTGCATACTCTGGCGGGGCACCAGTGGAGGACCACCATCTACCGATGAGGTCACATCGGTTATCGTGAGGAATTCACCAGGAATATGTAACAATGGTATACAGAAGGAACTGCATGGAGGTCAACTTGACATGGTACATTGGTAATGATGGGGGTTATTACTCCACATTACTAACAATCCCATTACTCCTTAAAGCTGGTAATTTATTGGTATTATTTAAAGCCCAGTTCAAATGTAGTAAATAATAATATTAATATATACCATATCCAGATGTGGTAATCAAAGATATTCCACTCGCATATTGTAGGCATAGGGAAGGAGATTATTAGTAATGTAGATTAATAACTCCATTGCCAGCAATGTGCCATGTCCGGTTGATCTCCACGCGGTTCCCCCTGGAAGCCATGATTGATAGATGACCAGGAAACTGGTGAATTTGCCACGATCAGCCCATCATGTGAACTGACTATTCATGTTGCCATTACTGTAGACCCGCTAGCTTCTACCGTTAGCACAGATGTGAGCATCATTGCATTATCATCCATTATATATTATTGGGATTATGGTATATGTGACATTTGACATCCTAAGTTTCCGAGTATATGAAATACAATATTACAGGAGGGTGAGCTATCTGTGTCTTCGGATTAATTTCGATTGTTATCCTGTTACCATCACAGGTGGCTTAGTCGGAAATAATAATTGACAGGAATTGTTTTTGGTGTGGGCAACATTTAAACTCAAGTATTTGGGATTGCAGTTAGCTATTATACTGGGTATTCCCTTTGTAACTAATATTGTATAGGCGATGATTGTCAGTTATCATCAGGAGGGGCGTCCACTTGTTTGTTATTCCAATTACAGTATTGTAATCTATACATATAAATAAAATTGGACTATCTGTTTGTAATATTGAAATCACCGTTTTGTACTACATGCGTATGAATATAAATACGGTACATACACCAAAATTACATTTTTTACAAGTTTTGTCTATCTATCTGTCTGTTTGTTCCGGCTAATCTCTGAAATGCCGGGGCCGATTTTGGCGGGACTTTTATTGGCAGGTAGCTGATGGAATAGGGAGTAACTTAGGCTATTTTTATTTTAGAAAAATAAAGTTAAATTCCATGCGGACGACGTTGCGGGTACAGCTAGTTAATAATAATAACCTAGGATAATTACAAACAGCCATGTAATCCGAAGTTAAGCAGAGCTTGTGTTATAGATACAAGAGAACTGATATAATTAGCTGAATTAGTTGTCATGCGTTACCATTCGAGAGGACTAAGGTAATAATATTACTGGACAATACACACAACAGCATGTAGTCCCAATTTAAGCACAGCTTGTGCTTAAATTGGGACTACATTGGGACTACATGCTGGGACTACATTGGGACTATAGGTACTAGATAACTGATAGAATAAATGTTTTTTATTTGTAAATACTTAGAAAACACCTAATATAATAAATCATACTCATGAATACAAATTTTTGCATCATACATGCAATTGAACCCACATACATTGGAAATAAGGCAGTGTGCTAAACTATTATACTACCGAAGCTATTATTACCAATATACTTAATCTTGTTTCAGTACAGCAATATCAAAACGCCAAGCAGCAGAAAAAGCCGCTACACAAGCTTTACACTGGTTGTATTACAACAAGAGAATAGACAAAAAAGGCTCGCCCATATATGATGAGGTTGTTCTAGATGAGTTGAAGACTAACCTCAATGAAGCCATTCATATATCAATAAGTGACAATTCTGTGGAACGGATCGATAGAATTTGGAAAGATTATGAAGAAGGCATAAGTAAGTTTTTTTTTTAATTATTTCCAACTTAAATTAGAACTTACCCTTGAGGGCTTTCTATTAATTACGTGACGTCCCTGTCACTCTGCCCCTTAAATAAAAAATAATAATAATAATCCCAGGACAATTCACACTGCGCCATCTAGACCCAAGTTAAGCTAAGCTAAAGCTTGCGTTATAGGTACTAGATAACTGATAAGATAACTGACAAATACATAGATTTGTTTTTTCGTAAATATATACATATTGTACATAGAAAACGCCCAGACCGATACAAACAATCATACACATGAATACAAATGTTTGTGCCGTGCAAGGCATCGAACCCGCGACCATCGGACGCAATTCAGTGTGCTAGACCACCGAGGTCGTTAATTTATGTATATAAAAATTAGTTACATGTTAATTTATAAACAAATATCGTTAATGTCGAAAATATAAGAAATAAAAGTATTTTTTTAACAATCACAAATGAAAACAAATATATTGTATTGTAATTCTATTGTAATATACATTATAATTCTGTTTATTGTTTTTTTTTAAACTTCGTTGTAATTTTTTTCCATTCCTATGCTTCCAAATAAATATTTAAACTATTGAGAATTTCCAAGATGGGGTGTTTTTTTTTTTTTCGTTCATCCATTTGCAATTTTTGTATTATTGCAGAGGGCATATACGAGACTACAATTAAAAAGGCTAAGCACTATACCACACAGTCACCTATGGTTTTAACTAGAGATTCAACAATTGATGAAGGTATGTTCTTGAATTTTCTTTCCATTTCTGTAACACACAATGTTTGACCCCCTACAAAGCTGATCCTGCAAACATTGTTTTGCCATATAAACTAAAATCGGTATTAAAAATAGGGATTGATGTTAGAAGCGTGAAAATTTGGGGTACTAAGTATTTTTTATAAAAAAAAATTGTCAAAAAATAAAAAATGAAAGGTGGAGGTGGACAACTCACCACCACCTAGGGGTATAAAAATAGATAATAGCCGATTCTTAGACCTATTGGATGTGCATATAAAATTTCATAAAAATCGTTTCGGATGAGTATGGTAACTAACATTGTGACACGAGAATTTTATATAAGACTAGCTGTTCTCAGCAGAACAGAACAGCTAGTATTCCGCGTGGTATTTTGAATTCTGAAGAATGTGATAAAGAATCACCTAGAGGTATCCTCATACCAGAAATAATTTATATTGTAAAACAACAGTGTTAGTATTTTTATATAAAATATATCAAATATTGATATCAGTCTTGGATTCGTTACGACTTTGTTATAATTATTATATGTAAATCTATTAATCTATTAATTACATCTAAGCAATTTTAAGGGTTTTATTGTTTCAGATGATTTCTCTGCAGATGAATCAGGAATAGGAAGTGATAATGAAATAGCTACCATGTCAGGTATAATAAAGTATGCATATGTAATATTAGATTACATACACAAACACACTCATACACACCAGTACTCATTCCTTTTCCACATACATCCTTATACACAAATTTATTCCATATTTCACACAGAAGTTCCATTTTTCATCATCATCTGCTTCTTCCTTATTCCATTTATTTGGGGTCGGCGTAATATGTTTTTCTCTTCCATTCATCCCTGTTCGCAGTCATCTCGTTATTTACTTCCTTTCTTACCATATCATCTTTCACACAGTCCATCCATTTCTTTTTCGGCCTTCCTCTGCTCTTATAACCATCCACATTCACATGTTCCATTCTTAAATTTCCATTTTTCAATTAGTTAAATAATACAAGGGTACAAACATTTGTATTCATGAGTATCATTGTTTATATCGGTCTGGGTGTTTACTATGTATAATATGTATGTATCTACAAAAAAAATATGTCATTTATCTAGTACCCATAACACAAGCTCTTCTTACCTTGGGTATAGATGGCGCTGTGTGAATTGACCTCAACATTATTAAAAGAGGTTTAAAAACAATGATCTAAAGTTCTAAACCTAGTTGTTATCTCCCTAGAGTTGAAAGTCCAGACTCATCGCATATACGGCAAGATTATAAGTCCACCATTAGCTGCCACTTTGTCTCAAAGATAACAAGCTTCGTGATGGAATTTTGAACATTACGTAGACACGTTAGATGCACAACTAATTGATTACGGTTACGGGTTCGATTCCTCGCACGTTACAAGTATATGTATTCTTGAGTGTGACTGTTTGTACTATTCTGAGTATTATATGTATTAAGAAAAATATGTATATATTTTTATCAATTGTCTAGTACCCATAACACAAGGTCTGCTTATTGGGACTAGATGGCACAGAGTGAATTGTCCTTAGATTATTATTATTGTTTAAAAGGATTAAAACAATGATCTGAAGTTCTAAACCAAGTTGTTATCTCCATAGAGTTGAAAGTCCAGACGCATCCCGTGTACGGCAAGACTATAAGTCCACCATCAGCAGCAACGTTGGCGCGAAGAGAACAAGCTTTGCGACAGAAATTTGAACACTACGACGAAGCGTTGACTCCTCTACCAATCGATGAATACTCGTAAGTAATAACAATTGTTCTTAGTTTTTTTTATGGATGGAATGGTGTACCCGCCTGCGCTAACAGTTTACGCTGGCGGGGCATCAGTGGAGGATGGTATAATGAGTATAAGGTCAATTGTCAGTCAGTAGAGGCCCATCGTGATAAATTCACCAAGAATAGGATAGTTTCCAGAGGGAAACACGTGGAGGTCAACCTGACATGGTACATTTCTAGCAATAAGATCATTAATCCACATTACTAATAATCTCCTTTCCCCCTTTTATTGAGGGTATTGGACTATTGTCAGGTGCTAAGACCTGTGACACTGCGATCTGCATAGATCTATTGTGCCAGCCCTTTTTCAAAGTAGCTGCCTAGACCCATGTGGGACAAGAATTGAAGGATATTCTTAGTAGATTTGTTTTTTTATGCCCTCAGGATAGATTATATATTTTCCAAAGGAGATTTTTCGTATATGCATAAGTGACCTACAACCACAGGATATGTAGTGACGTTTTCTCATTCCGCTTGACAAATGAGTGTGTGAGTTTGGAGTTACTTTATAGCATACTATCTGTGCCCGCGGCGTCAACCGCGTGAGATTTATAGCCTACGTGTTATTCTAATGTATAAGCTGTTACAGCCTCGGTGGTCTAGTGGTTTAGCATATCGCTTTACTATCCGATGGTCGCGGGTTCGATTCCTCGCACGATACAAACATTTGGATTCATGAGTATGATTGTTTGTATCGGTCTGGGTGTTTTCTATGTATATTATGTACATATGTATTTAATAAAAACAAAAATATCTAAGTATCTATATTAGTTCTCTAGCACACAAGCTCTGCTTAGCTTGGGACTAGAAGGCGTTGTATGAATTGTTCTGAGATATTATTATTATTGTAAAGTTTCATTGGAATCTATTTAGTAGTTTTTGCATGAAAGAGTAAAAAACATCTATACATCCATCCGCACTCGCAAACTTCCGCGTTTATAATATTAGTTGGGTTTAATTAACAATACACAAAAGAGTATATGCGCGTGTGTCTCCAATATCTACATGTTAGTCTGTTTAACATTTTTATATTGGTTTAATGTATGTTTTTTTCGGACTACTCTAATGCTGTTGGCCGCAGCTGGCCTTTACAGCTTCACCGGACGATAGGGGGCGAGTGCAGATGGCACTCCAACCCGCGGAAGGACTTATGGAGCGGCTGAAGCCCAACTCCTGCCTGACGGATACGACTTTAGTCTGAGGGCGCCACTAGGGGTTCGAACCTCGGCTCAGGCCGTCGTAATTTCATTTCCCGTTTGAATTAGACGGGGGATCGATCGGAGGGGGATTTTTATGCATAAATAAAAAAATGATAGAATTTAATATTAGCATTCTGCAATTCTTCTCTATATAAATTATAATTTTGCCTAATTTTATACATCTCCGTCCGCACAATTTTCCTAAAAAAATTTGCGTCCTGTATTAATGTATCATCATCATTATCATCATCATCATCATCATTATCATCATCATCATCATCATCATCGCAGCCCGGAAGACATCCGCTCCACATAACATCCACATCATATTATCTATACATATTAATGTATAGATAATATTTATTTCTCAATAAAAAAACATGTAATTGACACACACGCATAACTTACATATCCTTTTGTTTATTGTTGAAGTCTGTGTTCAAATAGAGAGTAGATTAATGTTTTTTGTCCTCAATATTATTTGTCTCTAGACTGTTACATTTATTATGATCAATTCAACTACTGGGCGACCACTAGTGTTAATTATTATGTAAACCAATTGCAATGAAACAAATAGTCAGTGTTGTAGGAACTTGTTATCAGTTTTGTCGTTTCCGAAATTAGCTCGTTTTTGCACGTACAGACAAAAATCCATAAACTTAAATAATTTATGTACAATGTTTTAAACCTCGACACAAAGAATGGGGTGTTGTAAGTTTGTCGTGTCTAAATTAATAGACCTATTTCCCTGGGGGGAGGGATTATTAGTAATGTGGATTAAAAAGCCCATTGTTAGCAATGAACCATATCAGGTTGACTTCCACGCGGTTCCTCCTTGAAACCATCATGTTAAACTGTTGAATTTGCCACGATGGACTAACTGACCTGACCTCATGCACATCTTATCATCCTCTATTGGTGGCCAATACCATTCCATTATCATCCATAAGACCTATTTCTACGCGTTTTTTTAAAAGCTGACTAAGCTAGCTAAATTTCGTAGCTATAATTTATTAGAGTTTTTTATTTGAGGTTTTATGAGAATTTTCAACTTTATTAAGAAAAATATTTGTGTACAGACATCAAGTATGTAACAATATGCGAATTAATGTTTATTGTTCTTACATACACACATCAATCCATAAATACATTTCAAATTTTTAATATTAAGGGGATAATAAAATCATAAACAATACGTTTAATTTATTATATTTATGATTCTTACATAATATTTTGAATATTGTAGTTTTGTTTGTATGAAGAAGGGTATTTATTGTATTACTTATGTGAAGGAGGATTGTATTAACTGGTCAAAAATAATTCTTTATCTTTATTTAAATAATCTTATATAATAATTTATATGCGGCTGTCAGCATCGTTTTTATTGTGTTGTGATGTGTGATGTAATAAATGTTACACTAAAAACGTCAGGGCAGGCCACTAATGCATTACTAATACTCGATTGCGTATAATCATAATTTCAAAATAAAAATCAAACATATACACATACGCATATTAGCAAATCAAATAAATAAAGCATAAACAAATTCGACCTCGACACGTTCCAAATTCGAAAACCTTGTAACGTCTGCTCTACATTGTCTGTGGGGCGACCTCTCTGTCCCGGATAGCGGCGTAACCCACAAAATTCGCCCTTGAGGTCCCGATTACGAGGGCGTGACCTCAAAATGTGACCTCACCGCGCGGCACGTGACCCTGACCCTGTACGTTCACATTGAGAGGGTGAAATATAATAGGACACAATTATATAAGATGTTATAAAATTAACTACATTTCCAGCAACAGGGCATAGTGTTTCTTGTGCAATTCTTTCCATTATTTTATATAACGACAATATATTATCAAATTTTCCACAAATATAAGCGTCATCCGTATGAAATAAATGTACCTATAATTAAAAAATAATCAGGGTATCTCTGTATATTAATATAACTTGAACTAAATAAAAAATTACACACACTAACATGTATTGGACACACATATGCATATACTATATTGTTTATTTTTAAAATATAAATATTTATTGTTGCTGGTTCAAAGATTTAAAAGAATTTTTTTATAATGGATGAATTTCGACCACTAGGCTACCACTGGTTGTGTTAATTACAAAACGGTAATAAATCATTTATAATTCGTAGTAAATGAAAACAAAATAAATGAATAATTATATAGGTGAATATAAAATTGAATAAAATGTTTATTGTTATCGCACCAGTGGAAGATTTATGAGATCCATTCACTTAGCCCTTCGTGGCAAATTAAACAGTATTTTAGCATGGGGGGGGGGGGGGGGATTGTTAGTAATGTGGACTGATGATCTCATTGCTGGCAATGTACCAAGTCAGGTTGACCTCCACGCGGTTCCCCTGGAAACCATCGTGATAAATTACTGATGAATTTGTCACGATGGGCTAACTGACCTGACCTTATGCTCATCTTATCATCTTCCACTGGTCCCCGCCAGCGTAAACCGTTAGCGCAGGCGGGTGCATCATTTCATTATAATAAAAAAAAAATACCCTTTCCGCTATAGGCGACGTTCTTTTTTAATATGTCTATTTTTAAGATGTGCATGATATTGGGTTAGTTAGGCTATCGTAGCAAATTTAACAGGAATTTAACATATTGATTTTCAGTTGGAATTTTGTGGAAGTCAACCTGAGTACATTGCTAGCAATGGAGTTATTGGTCCACTTTACTAACAAACCCATTGCTCCCGACATGGTACACTCATAGATAGATAGATAAATTCTTTATTCACAATTACAGGCACAACATACATGAGAAACAGAAAAAAACACGAATTAATAAAAGAAATGTAGGTGACTTTATGTGCCGCAAATGTGAAAAGGTACCCAACTCAGTATAAAGCTACAGATAACCCTGCAGCGCTGATATTCTGTTGGCTCTTATACTATACTTATTACTAAAAAAAAAATACATAAATATTAAACTTCGAGCTCTTTATCAAAATATATAAAGTACGAATAAACTGTAAATAATGTGATGCATTATGTTATATATCTTATACTACATAAATACTATAACAAGGATCACACATATGGGGCTGTTCAAGTATTACGTAAGCAGATTTATCACAATTATTTACCCCCCATCCCCCTTGTCAGCAAAAGTAAGCAAAGCTCTTACCCCCTCCCCCCATGCTTACATAAACATTTCTCAATTAATGTATTGTTTTTTTAGCAAAGACAATGTGAGGGTTGCCATTCGTGTAAAAAAATTAAATTACGACCGATGACGTAATCATCATACAGACTCCCCCACCCCCATGTCATCCAAAATAAGCAAAGAAAAGAACCCCGCCCCCCTATAGTGCTTACGTAATACTTGAACGGCCCCTATGGTCAAAGGCTCCGCGAGACTGATGATGACGAAGATGATGCAAAACAATGCTTGCGGACTAAGTTGGGTAATAAAGCTCCGCAGATACGAGACCTCCTAAGGTATTAAAGTACCATTGCTAACAATGGGGTTACTTATCCACATTATTAACAATCACCTTCCCCTGTAGACGACAGTTACTGTTTACCATCACATGGGCTATCAGCGTTGCCAATGCAATTACATAAAAACTTTTCCAGTTGAGCTCAGCCGGGCCTGCCGAAAGTTAACCGAATTTCGGTTTTCGAGAGCGCTATCTCGTCCCCAATACTCACTCGAGCTGACACCGTGACCTCCTTATGCTTAGTGAAATTCGAGCGACGGATGCGTTCGGTTTCACCGGTTCGCTGCCAGTTTCATTTTCGTTGTACGATGCAGTTGTCTGACGCGTTGGTACTGTCACTTTTATTGGTAACTAGCGATTGCCGCTGGTTTCGCACGTCTGTTATTATTGTAGGATTTTTTCTTGGTTGTAAAATATGATGTATATTACTCGTAGATAGTATAGTGTAGTATAGTATAGTACAGTATAGTAGCATTCTATATAATTAGTATTTTATTGTATCTATTACAAAAAAATAAATATTAATTTAACATTGGTTTAGGAGAGTTATTAGTCGCAGCTTTCCCGTGAGAATACTATAATTCCCTTGGTAATTTTGATAACAATATTAAATCCCAGCACAACATCGGAATTTGACATATTAGAGGCATTTCAAGTCTACATATTGTGATGAAAAAATCTGCTTTTCTAGATATAAGAATATAAAAAAAAATTTGCTGTTATTTTGCATCCGCAGGGGGTTTATAAACTGAAAACTAATTATATAATTTGATATATTAAAACTTCTATATCTGCCCTCGCTGATTTTGAGAGTTGACAGGACATATCAACTCTGACTCTAAAATACGTACTAGTCACCTACCGGAAATTGTTAATATTAATTCCTTCCATGTAGGCCACTAAGAGCCTGGAAGCGATTCATTAGCAATAATTCAGCAATTAGTACTAATTAATAATACTAAAATTGTTTATATTATTACTCTTCTTGATTCTCATCCAAAAATCGTATACAAAAAAATACAAAAGTTTTTCTAAAATTCCTATTACAACAATTTAATTCGGACAGAGCCGCCGTAAGCACCTAGTTACGAATATAGAGAGTGCAAACTACGTCATGCAAACGTAACACAACAAAAATCGAAAGTGTTTAAAAGTGAAACCACTCGATTTCGAACGCGAAATGACGCGGTGCTATCGTCATACGTCAGCCGATATGACGTGACGTACGCGCGTCACGTGACCTAAAAGCCGTGAGGCGTAAATACGCGCGTGACGTCAGTGCCGCGTGACGTAGAACTTTCTCGTTCACTCTCGGTTTCGTTGACGCTTGCTAACAAACTTTCTAGTACTTTATTGTAGGTCATAAAAAAAAGCATCTAGTTTTTAATATATTTAAAAACTACACATAGATGCTTTTTTTATTATATTAAAACTTTTTAATAGTAATTCGTTAAAACAGTTTTGATATAGAAATAAAACTAAATAGATTTAGTAATTCCATACTTGTGTTAAATATATTAAAAACTACACATAGATGCTTTTTTTATTATATTAAAACTTTTTAATAGTAATTCGTTAAAACAGTTTTGATATAGAAATAAAACTATATATGTGTTGAATATATTAAAAACTACACATAGATGCTTTTTTTATTATATTAAAACTTTTTAATAGTAACTCGTTAAAAAAGTTTTGATATAAAAATAAAACAAAATAGATTTTTTTTAAACAAATAATTTTTTATTTGCCATTGAAGTCTAGCCTTGCATTTAAATAGTCCGGGGTGAAAAGGTTGAATTCGTTTCGAATCCATTTTCGAATTGTCTCCCTTAACAATGAAAATTCCCCTCTATAGGGCATATAACTCTATAGCGTCTAACCCCTTTATTTTGTCTATAAACAGAGACAAAATAATATCTGCAATAGAAAACGCTCAAGTGACAGTGATAGTGGGTGCCGCTGGTTGTGGCAAGTCTACGAGAGCTCCCGCCGCTGTACTGAGGCATTGGGGCGCTAAAACCACCGCCATTGTGTCTGAACCTCGAAGGGTAGCGGCTATTGGCCTGGCTGAGAGGGTAGCCAGCGAGCTGGGTGAAGATGTAAGATTTTATAATGAATTTAATTTGTTTGTTTTAATTTTAAGTCTAAATAACTGAACAGATATTAATGAAATTTAGCATGAGGAAAGAATGTATCACGAGAGGACGGACATATATAGGCTGTATTTTATTTAAATATAACAAAACTGTGCCGCGGCAACCGTTTTTAGTTCTAAATTACGTATATTATGTATTTTTTAAATATGTTTTTACTGTACAATAATTTGAGGTAGACATTATTTAACCCCTAGATTTATTCAATTAAAGTGCCCACGGGTGTGACCCGGTCCCAGCGTGTAAATTTACTTACGTAGCGGAGTGACCCACCGGTGGGCATGCGTTCTTTATAAATAAAATAAAAAAGCCTTTTTATCTTGGCTTGCTTCAAATTTATGGTGTTAGTAACTTAGAAATATATATATTTATCACTGTATGCGTTCTTTAATGTGTTAATATTGTATACACAGGTTGGTGAATCAATAGGATATCATGTTCGTTTATACACGAAGCCCCCAAGACCGCCTGGTGGCTCTGTCCTGTACTGTACTTCTGGTGTGCTCCTCAAGAGACTGCAAGCGAATCCAGGTAATTTTAGTAGACTATCCGTATCGGGGATTAGTATCCTCTTTTTATTGAAGGTATGATAAAGCAATGGTGCCCTCGCCTGCAGTAACGGTATACGCTGGCGGAGCACCAGTAGAGGATGATAAGATGAGTATGATGTCAGGTCAGTTAGCCCATAGTAACAAATTCACCAGGAATTTAACATGATGATTTACAAGGGGAACCATGTGGAGATCAACCTAGCATAATACATTTCTATCAATGGGATTATTAACCCCCTACCCCCTACTAGTATCATATCCTAGGCCTATTGTATCTTTTCAAGTTGATTGAAGTTTTAGTATAGGAGACAAACGAGCTTACGGCTCACCTGATGGTAAATGAGTTGTCATGGTAACAGAGAAGATTGAGGATAAAATACCTCGAGGGCGAAGTCCCATTCGATGGTCAGACCGGATATCCAGTCAACTAAATATAACTGTTAGCGCCGCACTACACCACTGGTCTGAGCGCAATCGATGGCGACAGCTGGTTGACAAGATAGTGTAGAGTCGCGATCCTCAGCAGTGAGGGAACTATGAAGAAAAAGATCAGAGAAGAATATAAAAAATCATTTTTTATGGAACACACGTTAAAAGTTACCTTATTTATTCATAAACTCTTTATTGCACTAAGCATTTCACACGAGAATTATACAGAGTAGAAATATACATGTACAAAAGGCGGGCTTATCGCAAGAAGCATTCTCTTCCAGACAACCTTTAGGTAGAGAAAAACAACAAAAGTAATAGGTGGCGCATGGTCATGAATAGTATGGTATAATATATATAAAGGTAATAATTGAGGTAGAATAATAAACAATAATATACTTACTTATGTACAGGTTTAGAAGGCTGTTCCCACGTGTTCATCGATGAAGCTCACGAACGAGATGTCAATACAGATCTGACGCTGCTACTCCTCAAGAGAGCTGTGGACATCAATCCACAGTTAAAGGTTGTCATCATGAGCGCCACTCTCGACACTGAAGTGTTCACCAGGTAATACCAAATACCTAAAATAATAACTGTTTTTATCGAAAGCATCATGAATACATCTCATGTCTTGCCATCATTTTCCATCAGATGAGCAACCCATTAATAAAGATTTTAATAATATTGAATTTATTAGAAGGTAAATCCTAAATATCTTTCAGTATTATATGGCAATATTTAATGCCCATTCCCATAAAGTTTTATTAACTTAATGTAATCGAAAATCATGGTAGCTAACTATGAGCTATCATAAATAAGCTCAGAGTCCCCCAGAGGCCTATGATTGGATATGCTGCATGACAGTATCAGAAATGAGGAAATCCGCAGAAGAACCAGAGTAACCGACATAGCCCGAGGAATTACGAAACTGAAGTGGCAATAGGCAGGTCACATAGCTTACGAGCAACGTCCTACGGGACAGATGGTCATTGGGGCAGTAAAGTCCTCGAACGGTGACCGTAGATCGGAAGATGTAGCGCGGGAAAGTGTCCGATAAGGTGCACCATCGATCTGGTCAAGATCGCTAGAAAGCGTTGATTGCGAGCAGCGCAGGACCGATCGTCGTGGAGATTTTTGGGGAAGGCTTTTGTTCAGCAGTGGTCGTCTTCCGGGCTGAAATGATGATGATATAACGAAATTTGGGGACTGCAAATTTATATTTGTATTGTCTATTGCAGATATTTCGCCTCATGTCCAGTAGTCGATGTACCAGGGCGCACGTTTCCAGTAGAAGTGTTCAATTTAGAAGATGTACAGAAGAAATTTGGTTTAAGATTACAAAATACTCTTGAAAACTGCAAAAAAGAAGAAGGAAAGCCAATGGTTAATTGTCAAGAGGTAATATCTTGTCATAAAGTCTATTATAATTTGTAATCCTTACTATTATTATAATTGCGAAGGTGACTCTGTTTGTCCGTCTGTCTGTCTGGCTATCGCGCTTTCACGCTAAATCTACTGAACCGATTTAAATTAAATATGTAACACAGATAGTCTAGACCCTAAGAATGCACGTAGGCTACTTTTAAATGCGAAAAATATGTTGTAAGGAGCTGAAAGTGGATATTGGAGATTTGGGTTAGTTATTCTATAATTTATGCTATCCAAGTTCATCATTCCACGCTGACAAAGTATCGAGCACAGCTAGGTAGTAGCTACTGTACTAAAATGTATTCTGAACTTTATTCCAGGTGGCAGAAGTAATAAAATCGGTCGACAAGACACAAGGTGAAGGAGCAATACTAGTGTTTCTGCCTGGCTGGGCTGAGATAAAACTGACTAAACAAATACTTGACGAGTATTACGGACGGTCCAATCTGCATATGATACTGCCGGTTCATTCAAGGTAATCACAATCACACTTATATATCAAATCCTATAGTTTTCTATGTATATTATGTATATATTTAAAAAAAATTATCTATATATTTGTATCAGTTGTCTAGTACCCATAACACAAGCTTTGCTTACCTTGGGACTAGATGATGCGATGTGTGAATTGTTCAGAGATATTGTTATAGTCTAATTCAAAATAACCTGAAAATCTATTATTAGAAACTTAAGTGTTGGTCAGTCATTAAAATTAATAATCATTAACTTAACTAGCTTAACGTGGGTCTAGATGGCGCTATGTGAACTGTCCTGAGATTATTAATATTTCTTTAAATATTTTTTTTGTAATTATAACAGATTGTCAACGACAGAACAAACAAAAATGTTTGCGAAGCCACCTCCTGGGATCCGCAAAGTGGTGCTAGCTACCAACATAGCAGAAACGTCGATCACCATACCGGATATTGTGTATGTTATCGATAGTGGAGCGCATAAGGAGAACAGAATTAGAGAAGGCACTGGTATGGATTGTTTTAACCTTTAGCATACAACTCGAAATTTTAATTTAGTCATTAAGAATTTGGACATTCAAATATTAAGAATTGGAATTGTAAACGGTTGAGAAGGAATAAAATAAGAAGCATAATAATATAACAAATTAATAAGAACACCAACCATATGACTGAAGTGTGCGAAGAAAAAAAATTAATTCCTGAAATAAAAAAAAATTGAAATACATTTACATATCCTTATCCTTACTAATATTGTAAATGTAAAAGTAGGAATGTTTGTCACACTTTCACGCAAATACTACTAAACCGATCATCATGAAATTTTACATGTTCTTGTAGGTAGACTGAATATAGGATACTTTTTATTTAAAAAAATAAAATTATGTAACAAATGTTTTTTATAGAATACAAAAAAAAATTACATTTTGCTACTTCCTGCCATCTAGCAGCCAGTAATGAAGTTATACGAGCGAAGCCGCGGGCAAAAGCTAGTATATAATAGAAACAATCAATGCCGTTTATGTACATATTGTTCTATTACGATATATCACTTTGCTTAGTATATACTTGCGGTTTAGTATACCCTTCCGACTGATCCTGTATATATATCCTACATCTGCAATTGTAATAATTCTAGGTACAGCCAGTCTGGAAACAGTATGGGTATCACAAGCTAGCGCCAAGCAGAGGAGCGGTCGCGCAGGAAGAGTACAGCCTGGTGAGTTTACACGTCACAGACTAGAAAAATAAATTACTTGTATTAAAAAAATGTTTTACATTATTAAAGGGTATATTTTTAGGATGACAAACAAAAAAGACAAATTTAAAACCATACTATTTTGAACGTGCAAGATTTTTTTTTATAATTATAACTTAGAACAATTTACACCGTGCCACGTAGTCTAAGACTCAGCAGAGTTTGTGTTATGAGTACTAAACAACTCTTAGAAATACTTTTTTTTTTAATACATACATATTATACATAGAAATTACCCAGACCAATATACAGAATCATAGTCATGGATGCAAATGTTAGCACCGTCCGAGGAATCGAACCCGCGACCATCGGAAGCAAAGCGATGTGCGAAACCGCTAGACCACCGGGGTCGTCAATGTACGTCAAATATACTTATTTATTTGTTTTTATTCTTTCTTTCAGGTTACTGCTATAGACTTTACACAAAAGAAAAAGAAGCCGACCTCGCTCCTCACACCACTCCAGAAATACTGCGAATACCATTAGAACAAACAGTATTGGATTGTAAGACCTACGCCCCAGATGATAAGATTGAGGATTTCTTATCACAACTCCCAGAGCCACCGACCAAGAAGGCGATACAGTTTGCTGTTAAAGATCTTGTAGATTTAGGTAAGTTTATTGGTATAAATATAAATGTAGGTGGCCAGTGGTGGTGTAAAGCGGGCCCTAGGCGACGTCTTTTTAATATTATAAACGCGAAAGTTCTGTTTATGGATGGATGTTTGTTACTCTTTCACACAAAAACTACTGAACAGATTTTGGTGTAATTTTACAGTATAGCTAATACATCAGAATAATATATGGGCTATAAATTTTACGCGGATGAAACAGCTAGTATTAGTATATAACGAAATTTATACTACTACTAGCGGTGAATGTGATTCGGAAAATTTTGGATACATTTCAGCAATTACGTTTTTAAATATACATAAAAAAAATATCTAAGTATTTATATCAGTTGTCTAGTACCCATAACACAAACTTTGCTTACGGTGGTACTAGAGGACGCTGTGTGAATTTTCCAGCGTTGTTACTATTACCGCCGTCCATGAAGGGAAACCTCGCAAAGGAGATTACAAGTGCGTTGCCGGCCTTTTAAGAAAGAATAAGCTCTTTTCTTGAAGATTTCAATATCGTATCTGTTCCGAAATAGGAATACTGGAAGGTGATTCCACAATGTGGTTGTGCGTGGCAAAACATTCTGGAAAAACACACGTTGGAGGACATTCGTCCGTTTCTATCATATGTTTAACTATTTTTACTCGCGGCTTCACTCGCGTTAATTTATCCCTTTAAGGGTGGAATTTATCAAAATCCTTATTAGCTAAAGAAAGTTTCAATATCGTATCGGTTTGGAAATACCATTTCTAGAAGGTGATTCCATAATGTGCTTGTACGTGGTAAAAAGTTTCTGGAAATACGCACGGTGTAGGACCTCCATTTATCCAGTTGATCAACATGGTATTTTAGTTCCTTATTGCCAAACTTTTTATTTACGTCAACAAGTTAGGATGGTATTTTAGTTTCTGGCGAGTAGTGCGTTGGTGAAATGTAGCTGCTATTAATCCGACCAATTCCCCAGAAACTTGCACAACTTACCATACTCAGCAACTTATCGTCGATATCGCTTACCCCATCACTATTTTCTTAATGAATAGTGGGTATGGGCTGTTGGCGACCGACCGATCTAAACTTTACACTTCTACCCTCAAATCGCTAATTCATGACATGACTCAGGCAAAATTAATGTTATTGTAGCTCTAATACTAGTTGTATATTATTTTTGTTTCATTGTTGTATTATGTAGGTATATTTATCAAACCGTACATAAATATTTTTATAGAGTTAATTATTGATCGTCACATTTATTGTATATATTATTTTTGTACTGTTATATGTTTAAAAGGACTTATTGTCTGTGTAACGCAAAAAAATTTGTTTGTGTACTCTTAGATGTATATCTATTTGTATTGATTTTGTTATACTTAAATAAAGATGATTTAAAATAAAAAAAAATAAAAAATCCCCAGGAGTTTTTGTTAGTGCTCCATTCCATAATCATCGATTAAATATGGTTCTTTTTATTTAACATCAACAGGTGCCCTGACCCCTTCTGAGCATGTGACTCGGCTAGGCAATCTATTATCAACACTTGGTCTTCATCCACGGCTGGGCTGCAGTCTGTTGCACGGGTCGGTCATTGGTTGCCTGGTTGCGGCCGCTAACGTACTCACACACTGCAGTGACAACGTGGAGCTGTTCAGGAATGCTGCTGATAGGAGAGAAGGTCAGAACAATTAAGGTGGAAACACTTGTACAACACGATGTGCACCGTGCACATTACCAATACGTGACGCCACGACATCCTAACGATTTCTCTACAAGAAGACTTTAATGCAAGTTTTGGGTACATATTCCATACTAAAAGTCGGGCCGCTCAGAATTAGTTTTTCTAAAACGCAAACTCTGAGCGGTTAAAAAACTTAGAAACCCTTTTTTAGTGATCAAAAACAAACAGTTAATATTACCTTGAAACAACGCAGTTGAATGTGGTTTAACTTTTAAAAACTATTGTTTTTATTTATTTTTTCATTTTCCTGTTTAATCCACATTATTTATATTATTAACTGGGTCATAACACGAATAATTTTAGGGCAAATAATTTCGACTATGTTGCACTAGCCGTGTTCGCGAGCTGACCGAAAATTCGGGTAGGTAAATACCTTTATTTGCCATAAAGTTTTCATACACTAACTGATAAGAGTTGTCCACCTCTAACAATTTTTTTATATTTTAGACTAATTTTAATATTTCTATAATGTAGCATTAAAAATACATACAACCCTAAATTTTCACCCTTCTATCACCAATCGCTATTTTTTAATAGCGATTTTAACTTATAAGGCAAAACAACATTTGCGGTGTTAAAAGTCTTTAAACATGAACTGCAACACGGATTATGATGATGATGATTCATAGCGTTGATATTCAGAAGGACTGTTTCATTTTGTTTCACCCTTCAACCCAAACTCATCAGAAGACTATCCACAAAGTCTATCATAATCTATAAAGAGAAAATGCAGTAAAGACTCTCTAAGTCTCACTGCGTCTGGATCAAGAAAAAAATAGAGATTATAAACCTTTTTAAATGTCTCATAATACTGTTTTTTATTACTCAATAGAAATTCGGGAAATAAAATCGAAATTCAGCGATACGTCCGACCACGCCGTTTTGCATAGTATTCAGGACGAGTTCGAATATACGGCGGAAGAAAACGGCTGTAGGGGAGTCGACGAGTGGTGCGACAAATACGGATTGAGGAAGGACAGATTGAGCTATGTGAAATGTGAGTATATTATATGTAGTCACACTCGGGAACAGAATTTTGTTGTATCACATCTAAATCATATTTTTTTGTTTATTGTTGTATAGTTGATAATCTCTCTGTCTACCCCACCTGGGATTAATAAACGTGAAGAGTGTTTCGCAACCTTTTTAGAGCTATGCCCCACCATAGCCTTTCTAAAATTCTTAACAGTATAAAAGGTGACAGTAATTAAATCCTCAAAGCATAATGAAATATTGAAAGTCACATCCTTACTAATATTATTAATATGAAAGTAGGGATGTTTGTTACGCTTTCACGCAAAAACTACTGAACCGATCACCATGAAATTTTGTTCACATGTTCTTAGAGGTCTAATACCTCCAAGAACATACCTACATGAACATAGGATACTTATTATTAAAAAAAAATATTAAATGCGTGCGAAGACGCGGGTAAAAGCTAGTTCTATATAATTTTAATAGAGTTCAATTTTCGAATTACCCTCCTTAACAATCAAATCGCCCTCATATGGGATGTGGGTCCCACGTTGGGAAACACTGGTCGTGACGGTACATTATTATCTATTTACAGCACTATCAAATCTTCACCTGGAACAACTACTAAAATCCGGTTTCGTAGGACCAAATCCCGATCTGCAGGAGTTGAATCGGTTCACGTACATCGATGAACTGATGATCGCTGTATTACTGTCAGGAACCAATTCCATATTGAGGACAAGAAAACAAGTTCGAACTAAAGGGAAGCTGAAAACAGCTGTTAGCTTATTTACTAGGTAAGTTGTAGCACTATATGTGTGGTCATATGTAAAGTCAGTTTTGCCAAACTGAAGAGGAAACGCCGCTTCACATCCTATGTGGTTGTAGCCCACTCATGCATAAACGAAATATCTCCTTTGGAAAGTTTACACTCTTTCCCGAGGAGATAAAAACGATCGCTCCTAAGAATATCCTTCAATTCTTGTCCATGACGGGTCTAGGTAGCGAACTCTGAAAAGGGCGAGCACAATAGATCTATGTAGGTCGCAGTGCTACAGGTGCTACACATCTGACAATAGCCCAAACAACCCAATAAAAAAATAAAAAAAGTCAGTCAGCACACCGCCTTACTTATAACAGTCGCGGGTTCGATTTTTCGTATTGTAGGAACATTTGTATGTATGTTTGTTTTTTAATGACCCATCTGAACTATCGGTTTATGGTGGCGGGGCCCCAGTGGAGGATGATAAAATGATGATAAAACTAATTGTAAATGAAATCAGATCAGTTAGCCCATCTAGGCAAATGGCAATTTATCACGATAGTTTTCTGGGAGAACCGAGTGGAGGTCGACCTGACATTTCTAATTATGTAGTTATTAGTATACATCACTAAAAATCCCCTTTTCTCCTGACTGTTTGTATTGGCTGTCTGTGGTTTCTAAGTACTAATATACATGTATGTATGTATAAAAAAATTATTTCCTCTAAGCTTAGCTTAGCTTATGACTAGATGGCGCTGTGTGAATTATCGTGGCTTTTTATTATTTGAATATACTAAGCGCTCATCCCGCTAATTTTATTTAATACAAACATACAAATAATTTCTTTTTATGTTATTAGATCTCCATGATTTCGCTGCTGTGGCCGCGGTTTCATACTGAAATTTATACCTATGTGTTGTTCTGAGGGATAAGCTATATTATTGTAAAATTTCATTAAAATCCATTCAGTAATAATTTGCGTGGAAGTTGCGCAACAAACATACATCCATTCATCCACACTTACAAACTTCCGCGTTTATAATATTCGTAAGGTAATCAGCAATGAATTCAAAAGTGCTTAAATTAAGTTTATTTAGAGAAAGGATTTTCTATTCTATTCTATTCTATCTTTACAGTAAAGGTGACAGGGCACACATAGGTGGTGAAAGTGTTAACTACGGCATAACGAAACGCACAAACAAGACTCAGCTGCTGGCTTTCTTTGGAGGATACCACTCAGTAGAGAGGCGAGCTCTGGTTGTACATAAAACATCTCTAATAACGCCACATGCGGCACTTTTGTTCTGTAAAGAAGAGTTAAAGAAGGAGACGGTTAGTTTTTAACTAAAACTTATATAATAGAATATATACACTGAAAGTAGGTACGTAGTACGTACGTACATTTCCTATGCCTCTATCATATTTAAGACTATTAGAGCTATTTCCATGTATCATTCAAATAATAAATATTACATATAGTTTTTGACGGCCACAGTGGTCTAGCGGTTTAGCACACCGCTTTACTTTCGATGGCCGTGGGTTCAATTCCTCGCATGGCACAAACATTATTCATAAGTAATTGTTTGTATCGGTCTTGGTGTATTCTATGTATCTCCATAAGTCATTACACGGGTTTGGAGTGCCATTTGCACTCGCCTCTTATCGTCCGGTGAAGCTGTAAAGGCCAGTTGTGGCCTACAGCACTAGTCGTCCGAAAAAAAAAACCTATCAAGTAAACTTACTAATGTACAATTATTACACCTGTTTACTCACTACCTACATACTAGAGTAAACCATATATTATGTAGCGACACTTCATCACATCATATAAATAACGCTACAGTGGTGAGGTGATAACCACCACTCTACACAATATTTAAAGAGCATGATGGAAGATAGTGGAAAGTGGCAAGAGCGTGACTCTTAAATTATAAATGAATGACAGAGGAAAGGTCATAGATATGACGTAATGGGTACTTTGCAATAACAGTATTGTTTTTCAGGTAAACAACAATGACGAAGACGTAACTACACTCAGTTTGCCAAGACATAGGCTACAGGTTCAAATACCAACCAGGTAATTTGCCAATATTCATGTACTTGCTTATAAGACTTGTGTAACGATTACAAATTGACTGAAATGGTAGAAGCTGACGGTAAGTGGTACCCGTCGTAACTAGCTTTCACCCGCGTGAAATTTATATAATATATAAGCTGTTTGTAAAGTTTTATTAAAATCAGTTCAGTAGTTTTTGTGTGAATGAGTAACAAACATCCATCCATCATGTGGATGGCTTGTTTGTTTTTTATTTCACAAACTTCCGCGTTTATAATATTACTAACTAGCTTTTGCCCGCGGCTTCGCTCGCATTAATTACCCTTAGGGGTGGAAGATGCCTACGTCATAGTAGCTTTATGCATGCAAAGTCTCAGCCCGATCGGTTTAAAATTGACAAAGTTTCATACAAACTTTCATCCCCTATTTTCTCCCCTTGGGCATCCGCTTAGAAAGGATTTTGATTAACAAAATCCTTTCTTAGCGGATGCCTACATCATAACATCTACCTACATGCCAAATTTCAACCCGATCCGTCCAGTGGTTTGGACTGTGCGTTGATCACTATGTCAGTCATCTTTGAGTTATATATATTTAGATAGAAGATATACCAATATTATTAAAGAGAAAGTTTGGTTTTGTCATATCTCATCCTTTAACTGAAACATATTGTAAGATGTGTTTCGGTTAAAGGTTCGATGCAACTTTATTGACCACGGTGGTCTAACGGTTTAGCATACTGCTTTACGGTACGATGGTTGGGGGATCAATTCCTCGCTCAGTACAAACATTTGTACCCATCTGTATGTTTGTTTGTATTAGTCTGGGTGTTTCATATGTATACTATGTATTTACAAAAAATTGTATCCAAACATTTATATCAGTTATGTAGTACCCATAACACCAGCTAACATAAGGTAAGCACCTTGGGACTAGATGGCACTGTATGAATTGTCCTGGGATATTATTATTATTATCATCCAAATAAAAAATCTCAGCCTGTATTTTAAACTCTGCGATATACCTATATACGGTTTATAATTGAAATTATTTTTTGTAAACTGTGTCTAATGTATCACTCATTGTTACAATTTTTTTTTCAGTCAAGCTGATCATATATTGAAGGCAAAGGAAATGCTCTGGACGACGTTCCAATACTACATCGATAGAGATCTTAAAAATGTAGATTATGAAGAAACGGTAGATGTATCTAGGTTCAAAATCAGACTAATTAAAGCTATAGGAAGGATTTTAGTCGAAGCTCACAGAGAATATATTCAGGGGAAGACGAAAGAAGAGAATATAGAGGAATTTAGATAGAAAATAAATTAGTATCGAAATTGAGAAAGAGAATATAGTAAGAGATTCAGCAGCTATGCTAAAAAAATCAGATGTAATCTGGATGGGTAATCACACTGAATATTTTACAGTGCAGTCCAATTCTGATGATTCTTTTTTGATAAGAGTTGTAGAATAAGACGCAATATTAAATATTGCTGTGATTATGTAGTAGTAAATGTTAGTAGCATTAAGCCCGCCTTTTCTAGTAAATTTAGATCAATAATTATTTATTACAGTAAAACTGTATTACATCTAAAACATATGTCCGTTTGTGTTAGCATTACTCTGTAACTGCTGGACTCATTTACTGGACTGGTTTTACTCATATGGAATTATTACTCTGTTTTTAATTGTAAAGAGTAAAATCTATACGCGTATCTCCTTTGTTCTAATTGTAGCGGGTTGGAATCTTCGAACTATGTAAACATTTGTAGTCATGATGATTGTATTACACATAAATGTACTTCAGTATTTATATCAGTTGTTAAGTACTCATAGTACAAGCTTTGTTTTATTTATCTTAACTTAGACTAGATGGCGCTATGTGAGTTGTATTGAGTTTTTATTAGTATATTATATATTAGCTATGTTCACTTAAAATAAAAGTCACAAATGTACTATGATTTCATAGACTACCTACAGACAATATCAGATACAAAGCAATAACGTGATTATTTATAATTATTTTATATTGTATATGTCTATAAAAATAGAATGACGAATTAAATATATATTATGTTCGTATTTAAAACTTGTAGTTTTATTATAAAATACTTTAGCCTTGCCACTTGCAGGGTGTACCCAAAGTATGTTCCTCTTTCTCTCTGAGTCTGGTTATAAAGACATTCTCGAATTTATTATATTTTTTCAGGGTTCATTGAAAATTTATGTTGTGGCTATAGTTACAACATATATAATAAACTCGCTCCCTTTATCTACTACACGCCTACTTAATCTAGATAGGCATAACCTTAAAATAATGATAGGGACAATAACGGGCCATTGTTCCTTAAACAAACACTTACACAAAATTGATGCTACAGACAGTCCCCTTTGTAGGGGCTGCTTTGAGGCTGAAGAAACGGCGGCCCACGTAATCCTGGAGTGCACGGCAGTGGCACAACAACGAAAACAAATCCTCGGAACGGTGAGGTCGCTCCGTGAAGCCTGCGAAGACACCAGGAGTCTTCTGCGCTTTTGGGAGGAGCTTGGCTGGCTACTTTAGTAGTCTGGCTCTGCACGCACAACGGCCCGAATGAGAGGCTAATTGCAGAGACTGAAGTCCAACATACAATACCCAGTTTATCTAGGGTCCTGTAAATTTGCGCCAAAAACTTGAGGTTTTCTTTTATGAGATGATAATGGTGCATCCGCCTGCACTAACGGTTTACCCTGGCGGGGCACCAGTGGAGAATAATAAAATGAGCATGAAGTCAGGTCAGTTAGTCCGTAGTGGCAAGTTCACCAGTATATTAACATGATCGTTTCCAGGGGGTACTGCGCGGAGGTCAACCTGACATGGTACTTTGTTAGCAATGGGTTTATAAGTCCACATTACTGATAATCCCCTTCCCCCTAAGTACTAGATAGACAGATAATAATTTTTATTTGTATCTTAGTACACACATAGGCTTAATTATAATATTACATAACAAGTATAACAATCCAGCAAGAGTAAACCTGCATATGTGTGCTACAGTAATACAAAACTGGTACGTAGCTGTGTGGAGAATCACTCAAGGAGCAAAACACTTATTTGCAGCTTTGTCCTCGAGAATGAATAATGTACCTACTTTTATTTTTTAAAAACATAAATTGAACGAAATAATATGAAATAAATAACAAAGGAACTTTAAAGTAAGAATTACAGTTAGAGTACCAGAACTTCATAAATACCGAGATCCTTTAATTTAATTTGGGTTATATGAATACTAAATAGGAATGAAAATGTAAAAATAATAATAATTATGGTCACATAAGAAATGAAAAAGGTATAAATGTTTTAAGGAAAAGGAAAATAAACGAATGCTACTGCGCTCTGTCAACTTACATAGTTTTTGTTGCTGTAATAGGTATGATTTTATATATTTTTTTAAATGTATAGAGATTGTCCTTTATACATTTACTAGAGGTTGTCCTGGTTCCTTGTTCCACCAAGAGCCTGCCTCTACCCGTAGTCAAGTTTTGTATGTTAAGTACTTAAAAGAATAAAAGTGTCGGAAAAAATCGCAAAGCAAATAGGCTCGTACATAAAATAATATTTCTTAAAACAGGAAAATATTGAACTAATTACAAAGATCCCCTGCCACAGTCGTGTCGTACAGAACGAATGCGTCAATTCTATCTGTACAATTCCACAAAACAGCGCTATCAATAATTGTACAGACAATATTTTGTTGTTTTAAATACATACCCATTGTGATTCTAACATAAACAATTGAAGTTCAAATAATATAGTTCCTATGAAGTTAAACAATTTAAACCACTAAATGAATTAAAACGCTTTCGACGGCCTCGGTGGTATAGCCACTTTACTTCCTATGGTCGCGTGTTCGTTTCCTTCTACAGTACAAACATTTGTATTCATGAAATCATGAGTATGATTCTTTGTATCGATCTGGGTGTTTTTATGTACCTATAATATGTATGTATATGCAAAAAAAAACTATCTAAGTATTTATATCAGTTGTCTAGTACCCATAACACAAGCACTGCTTACCTTGTTACTAGATGACAATATAGTTATTATTGTTAAAGATAATTGTATTCATGAGTATGATTGTTTGTATCGGTCTGGGTGTTTTCTATGTATGATAAGTATGTATTTACAAAAAAAAATATCTATGTATTTGTATCAGCTATCTAGTACCCATAACACAAGCTTTAGCTAGCTTATATTGGGTCTAGATGGCGCTGTGTGAATTGTCCTGAGATGATTATGATTATTGAGTTTTTATTAGTATATTATATATTAGCTATGTTCATTTAAAATAAGTCACAAATATACTATGATTTCATAGACTACCGACAATATCCTTACAAACCATATTGTATAATATTAGTATATATTTGATATTAAATATCAGATACAAAGCAATAACGTGGTTATTTATAATTATTTTATATTGTATATGTCTATAAATATAGAATGACGAATTAAATATATATTATGTTCGTATTTAAAACTTGTAGTTTTATTATAAAATACTTCAACTTATGAAGTTGCCATGCCACTTACAGGGTGTACCCAAAGTATGTTCCTCTTTCTCTCTGAGTCTGGTTATAAAGACATTCTCGAATTTATTATGTTTTTTCAGGGTTCATTGAAAATTTATGTTGTGGCTATAGTCACAACATATATAATAACCTCGCTCCCTTTATCTACTACACGCCTACTTAATCTAGATAGGCATAACCTTAAAATAATGATAGGGACAATAACGGGCCATTGTTCCTTAAACAAACACTTACACAAAATTGATGCTACAGACAGTCCCCTTTGTAGGGGCTGCTTTGAGGCTGAAGAAACGGCGGCCCACGTAATCCTGGAGTGCACGGCAGTGGCACAACAACGAAAACAAATCCTCGGAACGGTGAGGTCGCTCCGTGAAGCCTGCGAAGACACCAGGAGTCTTCTGCGCTTTTGGGAGGAGCTTGGCTGGCTACTTTAGTAGTCTGGCTCTGCACGCACAACGGCCCGAATGAGAGGCTAATTGCAGAGACTGAAGTCCAACATACAATACCCAGTTTATCTAGGGTCCTGTAAATTTGCGCCAAAAACTTGAGGTTTTCTTTTATGAGATGATAATGGTGCATCCGCCTGCACTAACGGTTTACCCTGGCGGGGCACCAGTGGAGAATAATAAAATGAGCATGAAGTCAGGTCAGTTAGTCCGTAGTGGCAAGTTCACCAGTATATTAACATGATCGTTTCCAGGGGGTACTGCGCGGAGGTCAACCTGACATGGTACTTTGTTAGCAATGGGTTTATAAGTCCACATTACTGATAATCCCCTTCCCCCTAAGTACTAGATAGACAGATAATAATTTTTATTTGTATCTTAGTACACACATAGGCTTAATTATAATATTACATAACAAGTATAACAATCCAGCAAGAGTAAACCTGCATATGTGTGCTACAGTAATACAAAACTGGTACGTAGCTGTGTGGAGAATCACTCAAGGAGCAAAACACTTATTTGCAGCTTTGTCCTCGAGAATGAATAATGTACCTACTTTTATTTTTTAAAAACAAATAAATTGAACGAAATAATATGAAATAAATAACAAAGGAACTTGAAAGTAAGAATTACAGTTAGAGTACCAGAACTTCATAAATACCGAGATACTTTAATTTAATTTGGGTTATATGAATACTAAATAGGAATGAAAATGTAAAAATAATAATAATTATGGTCACATAAGAAATGAAAAAGGTATAAATGTTTTAAGGAAAAGGAAAATAAACGAATGCTACTGCGCTCTGTCAACTTACATAGTTTTTGTTGCTGTAATAGGTATGATTTTATATATTTTTTTAAATGTATAGAGATTGTCCTTTATACATTTACTAGAGGTTGTCCTGGTTCCTTGTTCCACCAAGAGCCTGCCTCTACCCGTAGTCAAGTTTTGTATGTTAAGTACTTAAAAGAATAAAAGTGTCGGAAAAAATCGCAAAGCAAATAGGCTCGTACATAAAATAATATTTCTTAAAACAGGAAAATATTGAACTAATTACAAAGATCCCCTGCCACAGTCGTGTCGTACAGAACGAATGCGTCAATTCTATCTGTACAATTCCACAAAACAGCGCTATCAATAATTGTACAGACAATATTTTCCTGTTTTAAATACATACCCATTGTGATTCTAATATAAACAATTGAAGTTCAAATAATATAGTTCCTATGAAGTTAAACAATTTAAACCACTAAATGAATTAAAACGCTTTCGACGGCCTCGGTGCTATAGCCACTTTACTTCCTATGGTCGCGTGTTCGTTTCCTTGTACAGTGAAAACATTTGTATTCATGAAATCATGACTATCATACTCATGATTTCATGAATACAAATGTTTGTATCGATCTGGGTATTTTTATGTACCTATAATATATATGTATTTACAAAAAAAAACTATCTAAGTATTTATATCAGTTGTCTAGTACCCATAACACAAGCACTGCTTACCTTGTTACTAGATGACAATATAGTTATTATTGTTAAAGATAATACTTTACTTATCAAATACTAATTAGTTGGGTGCAGATTAGGCAGTAAAATTACAGGATAAGAAGCATGATATCTGCATCCTCTGGAATAGCAACACGTGGTTAACGGATGTCACATGATAACGTGATGATCATTTTTTTCGGACTACTCTGTGGTTACAGCCGTAATATTCGTATTACAGATGACAGTATCAACGTAACGAATGAAGAAGA